AAGCTTCATTTAGTAAATCACAGGGCACTTTGATGTGATGTAATGGCCGCAAGCTTGTCTTGCTAAAACATTTATGACTGAGTAGTGTGTTTGATCTTCACTGGGTGCCCCATACTTTCGAACTTGTGCTACATCTAAGCTTCATTTAGTAAATCACAGGGCACTTTGATGTGATGTAATGGCCGCAAGCTTGTCTTGCTAAAACATTTATGACTGAGTAGTGTGTTTGATCTTCACTGGGTGTCGAACTTCTAAGCTTCATTTAGTAAATCACAGGCACTTTGAAAACAAGCTTGTCTTTTATTTATGACTGAGTAGTGTGTTTGATCTTCACTGAGTGCCTCATACTTTCGGCCTTGTGCCACATTTAAGCTCCACTTGGAAAATCACCATAATGTTATGGAAGTTCAAGTAAGGGAATAATGCTATGGAGACACCTTAAAAGCATATATAGTGTTTACGGTCAAGAAATCATAACTGAGCAGCTAGTACAAAAATGATTTGCAAACTTTTGTTCTGGAGAATTGTTGTTGGAAGATGAACCAGGTTTGGCGTATTCATTGGACTGTGATGATGAAGCTCTAGCATCATTAGCAGAAAAAATTCCATGGTAAAGTACCTGGGAATTAGTAAAAAAGTTAAACATATTAAAATCTACCATATACCAAAACTTAGAAAAGATAGGGAAGTCAACAAGCCGGCTGGTAGGGCTCTAGACTTCTTTCTTAGTGGAAAGAACAAAGTAGAATGTTGATAAAGAAAAACAGGAATTATTTATGACTCAACCTGTAGGGGAAAGAGAATGAAAAACTATTACCAAAAACGTGAAAAGAAAAAGAAATATTGAAAGTAATAACTGTCAAAGAAAACACATAAAAAAAAATTAAAAAAATGCAAACTTAATTTGTAATATACCAAGTATTTTTTTGTCTGTAATATATGTAATTTCTTGCTGTATAAGTATTATATCCTTTGCTCACTTTGATGCCAGATTGCAATGTTTTTGTTATGACGATGTCAGATTGTTCCCAGAAGTTTACAAAGACAGGAAATGAAAAAACCAATTCTGTGTAGAAGGAATATGAACAATAAAAATTAGAAAAAATATATATTTAAAGACTCACCTGTGAATACCCGATAACAGCAAGGATGTAACAAAATATGCTATCAGTTTTTTGATGTTATGAGTATTAAGAGAAAATTTGATTTAAAAAAAATAGCAAGATTACTAAAATGGAAAGTTGTAAGAAAATTAGTACAGCTTTGAAAAAGAAATTTTTAACAACTTTTATAATTCTTTACCTAACTTCAACAAAACTGTAATCTTGTTTAAAATCTTTCATACCCTTTTCAAATACTTTTTATAATCTTTTTCTAGCTTCTGTCTTTGCATAATTTTTTTTTTACTTTCTCTCTACTATTCTTCTTTTACAATAGTTTTTTTTCTTTTTTTTACTTTCCTGAAATTTTTGCTTGATTCTTTCTTTTTTTCTCTTCTGTTTTCACTTGACTCAATTCATCTGCCTTCTTTACTATTCAAACATTATCAGTCATTATTTTTTATACATTTTCCTTTCACGTACACATTATTTTTTGTCATTTTCTCCTTCTCCTCTTCTTCTTCCAATAGATGTCTCCTTTTATTTTTCAGCTCTCCAATTTTCTTTTACTGATTAATCTTGATTTTTGTGCCTTTCCCTTTCTGCTTTCTTTTTTTGCCTCCCATTACATCTCTTCTTTCTTCTCAATTTTCTTCTAACCATTTTTTGATCTTTATGCGAAATTCTTTTCTGCTTATTTTCTCCATTATTTACCCCAGATGACAGCTTACAAGTTGACATTTTAAGCTTGAAAAAATTCCTCCAAAAACAGGGGCCAATTTGTATGTCTGGTACGGTATGTAATGTATAAACAAAATCTAACTTTTTCATATGAGACATCATTGTTATTTCACAAGGATTCTTTCAAACTGGCATCATCATAATGTTGATATTTTAACCACAAACATAATAATAGTGTTAGGTTTCGTAGTGGTTAGTTAGCAATCTACTTGAATGGAACCATTACCTTGCCAGAGAGTAATGTTTAACAAGTTAGCTTAGAAAATTATTACTACTATAATGAGTTTGATCCTCATGGAGTACTCATACCTGTTGTTTTATGCCAATTGAAGCTGATCTCAGTTCGTATTTAGTGATTTGTATTATTAATATTTGAACTACTATCCTAATTTTAGTTGATATTGTTTTGGTCACTCTGCTCTATGACCTTCTCCAAGTTCTTCCTTGGGTTTAAAGCTCCAAGTTCTAGGTTCAGGATTGTCACATGGGTCAATAGCCTCATGAATTTTATAACATAATAATTGTGAATTTAATCTCTGGGCTGTGTAGTACAGACTTAAATTCAATGGAAACAGTGAGGTATGATTTAACAGTAATAAAAAAAGAACAAGTTCAGATATCCTTAGACATAGACAGTAAAACAAGAACAATCTATCTCCAGAGATTAAATGAAGGCTTCAGTTTGAAATTCCTTGAAGTTTACCCAGATTGACAGACAAACCTGAAAAGGGCAGAACAACCAAAATATTATGATAATAACAACAAAGGTGAGGATATTAGTCTCAATGTAAATAGTGAAAACTCTCACCTTAAAAATTAGTGATCTGCCTTTTGCCTAAAATAGTTTCATATTTTTAATTGGTGCTAGAGATCAGTGTTCAAACCTCAGTAAAAGCCAGAATTTTTAATGCTGAGCTCCTAGGTAGATATTTGAAAGATTATCAGTTCTCGTTCTCAAATTTATTGGCCTTGTGCCTTACTATCGTAGAAAGCCTCATTGTAGAACAATAGTCTACTAAACAAGCAGTATGCTTGTTTGGTAGACTATTTTTCTTATCTTAGTGATGAATATGTTTTTTTAAATATAAGTCTTCAAATAAAAGGACAAGATGAAAATAAGTTTGTACAAGCAAACCTTATAAATTTGAATGCAACCTAAGTGGAAGATATAAAACATTTTACTTATCACATTGTGCCACAAATTGGATAACCCATTCGGTTCATAAGCACATTTATTTTTTGCTATCTCTCCTAATCCCTGTTCTTCCAACCATTTATACAAACTTGTTCACTGTTTTTTCTTACCTTCAGTATGTCTTGTGAGTGTTAAATTTTCTAAGCCTTCTTTCCTCATTATGTGCACTTGTTTCCATTTTCTCTAAAACTTTGTCATTGTTCACATATCCATGGTAACGTCAGCATCTTTTTGTTGAACCATATTTCTGTTGCCTCAAGTCTCTTCTTCATCTGTGAGGAGATTGTTCAGTATTCACTGCCTTATAGGAGGATTAATATTACATAGCAATTCAGTACTGTTCTCTTTTTTCTAATACTTTTGTCTTAAATTTATCATTAACCATAATCTAACAGGTCACCGCAGATGTGTAATTAAAATCTATATTTGGTAAAATGATTAAATTTATTTAATATAGAGATTATAAAAAGGAGGAGGAAAATGCAGCATTAGGAAATAATACAACAATTACCAGCAAAACCCAAACTGTCAGTTAATTAGAATGTTTGATTTTTTGTTATTTTTTATTGATTCATTTTTTAAGGCTTATCAACCCTTTTCAGGTTTTTGAAAGTCAAATTTTTTTTTATATTGTCACAATTTTGGGATATAATAATGATTTAGTGATGCAAGTTTTACTAATTAATGGCTGCAAAACAAAACTTCTTTCATTTAGCCAGAGATAATTCCTTGCCCGCCATTAGCATGGTTGATGCTAAACTACAGAAGAGTGTCTCTCTGCACCTTCTTGGCAGTGGAATAACTACATTGAATCAATAGTTGCATCTGCTGCAAGGAAAGTTGACTCACTGTGTCATGCCAGAAGGTTTTTCTTGTCAGAGTCCACCCTTCATATCTACAAATCTACCATTCATCCGCATATTAAGTACTGTTGCCATAGCTAGTCTGGTGCCCCAGCTGTTCATCTCGAGGTTATCAACAAAATCCAAAGAAGGATCTGCAATATATTTGATCCTAAATTGGTATCTTGACTCCAGTCAATTTCTCATAGATGTGATGTGGCTTCCCTCTGTCTTTTCTACAAGTATTTCCATGGCCACTGTTCTGTTGAGCTTTTTTCCCTGGTACCCCAACTGCATAAATTTAAGCATGCATCTAGATCCCACCCTTTTACCATTGAAAACAGAAGCCAACAAATTTGCTGAAAAATTTAAGGAGCAATTTCTCAGTAGTGCCATTTATATGAAGAACAGAAGAATACCATGTGGCAAACCATTCTAAATAAGTTCTTCATAAAAACTCTAATTAATAAACATTAATCATAGCATTTTTATTATATCTTATATGTACCTATATTTTAATTAAAAGTATGCAAATTAGAAATTAATTTTGAATGAGACTAAAATTTGAGTTACAAATTACATCATTTCCTATAAGTTAATATATTTGATTAATGCATTTTCAATTAGGGTATATCTTGAATGTACACATTAGTCGAGGGATTCCTATATTATATTTTGACCATTCTGTTATGAAATCATTGTTAACTCAGTTTACACATCATTAGATTAATAATGATAAACAGTGACTATAAGGTAGGCTATTATGTATTATTGTTTACCATTGTTAAGGGTCAATTGATATGCAAACATAAACTGTACACCCCAATATTCATTTTCTGAACTCGTCTCTTTCATTTTATACAATCATTCCTCTCCAATTTTTAAAAAAATCACTCTTTTTTTTTCTTTCCCTCTCATTTGTTATCGTCTTCTTCTTTCTTGAATTCTTTTTCAACTGATTTTTTAAAAACATTGTATTCGGTTGGTTCAGACTAATTTCATGATTTATTCTTCACAATGATTCAGCTGCCTACTTTTTATCCTTTCTCAAGTGTTTGTTGTGTTTGGAACAGGCACCTAAGGAAGGATAAAAGGTGTCAGTTCTAGAAAACCCGAGAAAAGATGCAAATCCTGAGGGTAAACAACAGAAATATGGGATGGAGGAAGGAATGAGAAAAGCATGAAAATTAGACAGAAGTAGAAAGAATGAGAATAAGGTCTTCATTTTTTCCTTTTACATTATTTCCATGTTTTCCTTCTTTCACCTCACTTTTCCCTACTTTCATCATTACCTCATTCTTTCATCATCTTCCTATTCCTCCCTACTTTCATCATTACCTCATTCTTTCATCATCTTCCTATTCCTCCCTTCTTTCAACATAATCTCATTCATTCCAGCTTTCATCATCTCATTTACCATCATCTCATTTTTTCCCTCTTTCGTCATCATCCCATTCTTTTCTTCTTTCGCCATCATCTCATTCTTTCCTTCTTTCATCATCATCTCTTTTCTTTTCTTTCCTTCTTTCATTTTATTCATCATCTCATTCTTTCTTTTTTTTCCTTCTTTCGTCATCATCATCTCATTCTTTTCTTCTTTCTTCATCATCATCTCATTCTTTTTCATCTCATTCTTTTCCTTTTTCATCATCATCTCATTCTTCTTTCTTTCATCATCTCATTCTTTCCTTCTTTCATCATCATCTCATTTTCTTTTCATCATTCATTTTTTTCTTTTTTTCTTCTTGTTTCATTCTTAATTTAATTTTCTCCTTTCATTTTATTCTGATTCATTTATCTTCTTTTCTTTTTCTTTCATTCATTCATCATCTCATTCTTTCTTTTTCTTTCATCATCATTTTCATTCTTTCATTCTTTTTTTTTCTTGATTCATCATCTCATTCTTTCCTTCTTTCGTCATCATCTCATTCTTTTCTTCTTTCATCATCATCTCATTCTTTCCTTCTTTCATCATCATCTCATTCTTTCCTTCTTTCGCTTCATCATCTCATTCTTTCCTTCTTTCGTCATCATCTCATTCTTTTTCCTTCATCTCATTCTTTCCTTCTTTTCATCATTAATTTAATTTTCCTTTCATTTTATTCTGATTCATTTATTTCTTCTTTCGTCATCATCTCATTCTTTCCTTCTTTCATTTCATCATCTTTCATTTTATTTCCTTCTTTCATTCATCATCTCATTCTTTTCATTTTTCTGATTTTTCATCATCTCATTCTTTCCTTCTTTCATCATCATCTCATTCTTCTTTCGTCATCATCTCATCATCTCATTCTTAATTTGTTTTTTCCTTCTTTCATCATCATCTTTTCTTCTTTTCCTTCATTTTTTAATTTTTTCTGTCATCATCTCATTCTTTCCATTTCTTTCATTCATTTTTCTCATTTTCATTCTTTTTTTCTTTTTTTTTTCATCATCTCATTCTTTCCTTCATCATTCATTTCTTTCTTCATTCATCTCATTCTTTCATCATTCATTCTTTCCTTCTTTCATCATCATCTCATTCTTTCCTTCTTTTATTTCATTCATCTCATTCTTTCCTTCTTTCATCATCAGCTCTTTTTTTTCTTTTCTTCATCTTTTTCGCCATCATCTCATTCTTTTCCTTCTTTCTTCTTTCATCATCTCATTCTTTCATTCTTTTTCCTTACTCTCATTCTTAATTTAATTTTCTCCTTTCATTTTATTCTGATTCATTTATCTTCTTCTTTCATCATCATCTCATTCTTTCCTTCTTTCATCATCATCTCATTCTTTCCTTCTTTCGTCATCATCTCATTCTTTCATTTTATTCTGATTTCTTTCGTCATCATCTCATTCTTTCCTTTTTTCTTTCATCTCATCTCATCGTCATTCTTTCTTTTTTTCTCTCTTTCATTTCATTCTTTCATTCTTCTTTCCTTCTTTCGTCATCATCATCATTCATTCATTTTTCCTTCTTTCATCATCATCTCATTCTTTCTTCTTTCTTCATTCTTTCATCATTTTTCCTTCTTTCATTCTTTCCTTTCTTTTCATCTCATCATCTCATTCTTTTGTTTTTCTTCTCATTTTCCTTCTTCGTCATCATCTCATTCTTTCTTTCCATCTCATTCTTTCTTCTTTCGTCATCATCATTTTCTCATTCATTTTCATCATCATCATTCATTTCTTTTTTCCTTCTTTCATCATCATCATCATTCTTTCCTTTTTCTTTTTTCTTCTTTCATCATCTCATTCATTTTTTTTTTTTTTTCTGATTCATTTTCTTTCTTTCATCATCTCATTCATCTCTTTCTTTCCATTCATTTCCTTTTTTCATCTCATTCTTAATTTCTTTTTTCTCCTTTATTTTTCATTTCATTCATTTCTTTGATTCATTTATCTTGTTTTTTTTTTCATCATCTCATTAATTTTTTTCATTTCTTTCGTCATCATCTCATTCTTTCCTTACTCTCATTCTTAATTTAATTTTCTCCTTTCATTTTATTCTGATTCATTTATCTTCTTCTTTCGTCATCATCTCATTCTTTCCTTCTTTCGTCATCATCTCATTCTTTCATCATCATCTCATTCTTTCCTTCTTTCGTCATCATCTCATTCTTTCCTTCTTTTCATCATCTCTTCTTTCATTCTTTCCTTATTCTTTCCTTCTTTCTCATCATTCATTTAATTTAATTTTTTCTTTTCATTTTATTTTTGATTCATTTATCTTCTTCTTTTCGTCATCATCTCATTCATTTTTTTCCTTCTTTCGTCATCATCATTTTCTTTTCTTTCATCATCATCTCATTCTTTCCTTCTTTAATCATCATCTCATTCTTTCTCTTCATTTTTTTGTCATCATCTCATTCTTTCCTTCTCTTTTTCGTCATCATCTCATTCTCATTTTCCTTTTATCATCTCATTCTTAATTTAATTCTTTCCTTTCTTTTCATCATCTCATTCTTTTTCTCCTTTCATTTTATTCTGATTCATTTATCTTCTTCTTTTTTCTTTCATCTCATTCTTTCCTTCTTTCATCATCATCTCATTCTTTCTTCATTCATTCTTTTTCTTTCGTCATTTACTCTCATTCTTAATTTAATTTTCTTTCCTTTCATTTATTTCATTCATTTATTCTTCTTCTTTCATCATCTCATCTCATCTCATTCTTTTTTCTTTTCTAATTTTGTCATCATCTCATTCTTTCATTCTTTCCTTTTTCATTCATTCTTTCATCATTCATTCTTTTCTCTTTTCATTTCATTCTTTCTTTTCATTCTTAATTTAATTTTTCCTTTCATTTTTTCATTTATTTCTTTTCATCATCTCATTCTTTTTTTCCTTCTTTCGTCATCATCTCATTCTTTCCTTTTTTCTCATTCTTTCTATTTTAATTTTTTCTTTCATTTTATTCATTTCATTCTTTCCTTCTTTTCGTCATCATTTCATTCTTTCCTTCTTTCATCATCATCTCATTTTTAATTTCTTCTCCTTTTCTTTTTTTAATTTAATTTTCTCCTTTCATTTATTCTGATTCATTTATCTTCTTCTTTCATCATTCATTCTTTTTTGATTCATCATTCATTCTTTTCATCATCTCATTCTTCTTCTTTTTCATCATCTCATTCTTTTCCTTCTTTCGTCATCATTTCGTCATCATTCTTTCATTTTAATTTTTTCTTTTCATCATTATTCTGATTCATTTATCTTCTTCTTTTCATCTTTCTTTCGTCATCATCTCATTCATCATCATTCATTCTTTCCTTCTTTCATCATCATCTCATTCTTTCCTTCTTTCGTCATCATCTCATTCTTTCCTTTCATTTTAATTTAATTTTTCTTTTCTTATTCATCATCTTCATTCATCATTCTCATTCTTTTTCTTTTTTCATCATCTCATTCTTTCATCATCATTCATTCTGTTTTTTCTTTCATCATCATCTCATTTTTTCCTTCTTTCTTCATCTCATTTTTTCCTTTCATTCAATTTAATTTTTCCTTTCATCTTTATTCTATTCATTTTTCTTCTTCTTTCATCATTTTCATTCATTCTTTGTCATCATCTCATTTTTTTTCATTTCATTCTTTCTTCTTTCATCATCATCTCATTCTTTTCTTCTTCTTTCATCTTTATTCTTTTCATCATCTCATTCATTCTTTTCTTCTTTTCATCATCTTTTTCTCTTCATCATCATTCTTTTTTTCTTCATTTCTTTCATCATTTCATCATCATCTCATTCTTTTTCCTTAATTTCATTCTTTCATTTTTCTTTTTGATTCATTCATTCTTTTCATTCTTCTTTCATCATCATCATTCATTTTTTTCTTTCTTTCATCATCATTTTTCTTTTCATCTCATTTTTTTCCTTCTTTTCTTTCATCTCATTCTTTCCTTCTTTTTCATTCTTTTCTTTCTCATTCTTTTTTAATTTTCTCCTTTCATCTTATTCATTTTTTTTCTTTCATCATCATCTCATTCTTTCCTTCTTTCTTTCATCATCTCATTCTTTTCATCATTTCATTCTTTCATCATCATTCATTTTTTTCTTTTTTCATCTCATTTTTTTTTCATTCTTAATTTAATTTTTCTTTTCTTATTCTGATTTCTTCTTTTCATCATCATCATTGTTTTTTCTTTTCTTTCCTTCTTTCATCATCTTCATTTCTTTCATCATCTCATTCTTTCTTTCATTAATTTTTTTTCTCCTTTCATCTTATTCTGATTCATTTATCTTCTTCTTTCATCATCATCTCATTCTTTCCTTCTTTCGTCATCATCTCATTCTTTCATCATCATCTCATTCTTTCCTTCTTTCATCATCATCTCATTCTTTCCTTCTTTCGTCATCATCTCATTCTTTCCTTACTCTCATTCTTAATTTAATTTTCTCCTTTCATTTTATTCTGATTCATTTATCTTCTTCTTTCGTCATCATCTCATTCTTTCATCATCATTCTGTTTTTCCTTCTTTCATCATCATCTCATTCTTTCTTTTTTTTTTCGTCATCATCTCATTTTCATCTTATTCTGATTCATCTTCTTCTTCATTCTTTCCTTCTTTCATCATCATCATCATCTCATTCTTTTTCCTTTCATCATTCTCATTCTTTCCTTCTTTCGTCATCATCTCATTCTTTTTTTCATTCTTAATTTAATTTTCTGTTTTCATCTTCTTTTCATCATCATTCATTCTTTTCGTCATCATCATTTCATCATTCATATCATTTTTCTTCCTCCTTTCATCTTATTCTGATTTAATTTTTCCTTTCTTATTCTGTATTCTTTTATTCTTATTCTTATTCTCATTCTTTCTTCCTTTCCCCTTATTCTCATTTTCTAAAGTTTGGTTTAAGAGATTACTTTGGCTTTGTAAGCGTGGACAGAACAAGAGCAAATTTTCAGTGCCCTCTCTCTGCAATCAATTTGAAATATTGTTATCTACCGCAGATAAATTAGAATGTTTTTTCGATTAGAAGAGGGTCTCTACAGAGTGATATGAACATACCTCCATCCATGGTTTCTGCTATCATTAAACTAGATCCTCACAACTCTTGTGGATTTGACAAGATACCCTTGTAATAGTCCTAAAGAAATGTGCTCCTGAACTGGCTCCTGTTCTCTACAAACTTTATGATAAATGACTCACAACTTCTTGCTTTCCAGCTTGTTGGAAATCCTCCTCTGTAGTTCCTGTCCTGGGGAACCTTTTTGACCCTTAGATTTTGTTACCTCTTTTTTGGCTCATTTGTGAAACTCACTTCTGATTTCTTCTTTCCCTGCCACTTAGAATCCTGAAAAATTTAAATGCAACATCAATCAGCATCTTCTTTTTTTCTTAAATCCTGTTTTTTTTATTGTCCTTTCTTCTTACAAAAGCCTTCTCATTCTCTTTTGCTCCTATCACATTGTTTAGTATTAAATAATAAATAAAATATATAATGAATAATCTGTAGATTTGTATTAAAATAAATATTTGTTAAATCACAAAACTTATCAAGATATGTTATGGCTAAATGTTGGTGTAGAAATGTTTTATGTTAACTGAAAAGCCAATAATATAAAATAAAAAATAAATAAATGATTCTTAACTGAGAAATTTAAAATAAACTAAATATGATCAATAATTTTGAGTATTGTAAAGGTTTCTATTTTCACAATCAGTTAAAAGAAAACAAAACAAAAAACATAGTTTAATGTTAAGTAATTCTTTCGTGTATATATATATATATATATATATATATGAAGAAATATAGTCTTAAGGTGTGCTATATTCATGGGATAAAGTGCTTGATATCAGAGATAGAGCGTATTTAAAATATAAAAGTGAACATAGAAGTCAACACTTAGAGGTCACAGTGTGTTTCATGCTAGATGCAATTGTCAGGCCACAAGTGCTGTTATTTTTCTTGGCTATTTATATATATACAGGTCAGTGGTGCATTGTGGGTAGTCTATTATGGTGGTTATTTACTGGAAGTCGTTTATTTATTTATTTGGGTTAAATTATTTTGCTTGTTTTTATTTATTTTTATTTTTTGTTTCTTATCTTATTTATTTATTTATTTTTTTAAATCGGTGTATTTTTATTAACATAGTAAAAAAATGTTTATATCACTTATTTAATAGTTTTGTTTTGGTTTGAGAATTTAATTAAAGCTATCTGTTCGGTTCTGGGGTTGGTTGTTGTGGTTTATTCTAACTATTATTTTGGCGGGAACAGTTTTTAATTTGTATTTATTTGGATTGATTATCTTTATTTGTTTCTAACGGTAACTTTATCGGGATTGATATGTTTATTTATTTATTTGGATGAATTTAAGTCAATTTATTTGACTGTCACCTCTAAGTGTTGACTTATATGTTCACTTTTATATTTTTATATATATATATATATATATATATATATATATATATATATATATATATAATAATATTATCATTCCTCTTTTTATAATATTGAGCACTATATGAAAATATCTGCTTCACATTTAAGTCTTAAAAATCTTAAATTTTATGGACAATTTTTACACTCCCTTACTCTCACCAAACAAAAAATGTAAGAATGCTGGTAAAATTATATAAAAAATTAACAGTGGATAAAGGCATTGGTTAGATCGAGTGACAGGACCCAAAGTGTGCGAGTTCAATACCTGGTTAAGGTGGTGGAGAACTTTGAGAGGGGAATTAACAGGAAATAACTGACATCCATTAGACATGGCACATGGAACTAGAACAGTCTACCTCAGTGAGCAAAATAATGGTTTCAGTTCGACATTCCAACTACCTGAAGAAGGCCAGAGCATGCAACAGCCAAAACATTGTAATAAATATGGCAACAAAGATGAGG